CATATTAAATATATAATAAGTATCACCAGATATAATTTATTTATTTTTCTCGCTAGGAAATCGTTAATTAAATTTGATATACGTACATTAGTTGTCATATCAAACAGACTGTTTAACAATAGTTTAATAAAGAATACACTGGTCTTTGTGTACGTTCGCTTGGTCCGAGGTATGTTTATTGCAACTTGAAAGCAAATATTTACATTGAATTTGAGCGAAACAGTCTTTTGTTGAGGATGTACCACGGATATTGTTATTCAAAATGCCCTCACGTGATTATCTTAAAAACATGGAAATGAGATTGCTATGACTTTTTTAGAAGAAAAAAGCGAGTACATATTCTTAAGAAGAAAATTACGGCAATTTTAAAAATTATGGCAATAAAAAAAATTACATAGAGTTGAAAGATAATTGAAGACAGATATTTTTTTGTAAAATACATCAGAATTAGAACTATCGTGTAACAAAAGTGAACCTTTTTGAAAGTATCTCTCAAAAAAATAACAATATTGAAATTAAAAAAATTTAACATAAGAATATAGTTGTTTTAAATAAAATTATTGCTTCTAACCTCTTAACATTAAAATCTTTAATAAAGTAATAGTGTTACCATAGTTTGTTGGCTGTAAATACACTAAAAAATATGTTTACTGTAAGATTGTACACAATTTTCCGTCAACCAACAACCTATTAGGCAGTAAGTGAATTACTGATTGATGTTGCTGCTCCGACGGGGCTTTTAGTACGACGTGTGCAACATATTACTTAATATCATATTTATTAATTATATTAAACAAATAGACAAGCAAATAATATAGAAGTTTAATTGATATTAATTATTATTGATATGTAGTTGTTTTGTTATTCTTTGAACTTTCTTTAAATCAGTGTTAACTTACGTTTGTTTTAGTGTATCAGTTTATTATCTTACCTTAAAAAGTATATACATAGGATTAGTAATTGAATATTTCAGTAATATTATTGAAAATTTAATAGTTTTTTTGGAAAAAAATGGTAATTCCGTAAAATAGTGATTTAAATTGAATACGGTAATCTGAAATCTGAACGGTGAAATTAACATAAGTAATATTGATTGATATGCAAATATTTCATAATTTTGCATGACTTAAACCATAACTGTATGTTATATAAATTATTTTTAGTACAGAAAGTTTATTCTTTATTTGTCTTAAAGCACTAGGTTACAAAAACGTTTTCTCGAAACATGTTGTAGACATTTAACTAAAAATATTTCTAAGTATGAATATCCCGTTTCTGAACCGAAATTGCGGAATGAGTGAGAATATAAATGCTATTCGGTCATTTGATGAGAGCCACTGGTGCCGCCATGTTTTTTAGACTGCACTTTGAAGCCCCTTTAACTGTACCACTACTCCGCGGCGGGTTTTCGTGCGACATGCAATAAATAGACGAAAAATAATTTTAGGTATATAATAATAGTTATCCCCATTTTATTTTTTAGCGAAACCAATCTAACCAAACCAATAGTTGGTTTGTTTTAACTATAAAAAAAATTGATCACTAATTTAGTATTTACTCAATATATACTTTTCAATAAGTACTTATTTAATTATTTAATCAAAATAATTCATTCAATACGTAATCCCGTATGTTACGAAAGTTGTAATCGTTAACGATCCAAGCTGTCAATGAACACAAAAGGCATTTCAAATGTTGGTGCGTGTGTCCAAGCACTCTCAAACGTGAAGCAGATCAGCCCTTTCTGCGGCCATTCATCGCATCTAGGCTGACACTCGACCCGACTCGCAAATTAGACCCTGAAGTACTAACTCGACCCCGTTGACAAATTAAAAACGTACTATTAGAAACACGGCCACGAGAACTGAACGCCGGAGCCACGAACATAATTAGGGTGTAAGCATTGTCACGAGCCCTTATCATGATGGGATCATTAACATTTTTAGTTTCAAGCGTATCATGTAACCTACTGTTATATCTGGTCCTGTTTAATTTATGCCTATAATTACTTACTTTACTTTTATAGGTATTTCTACAGTTTTTGTTACGAATAATGCAAGTCATTATCCAATTTCCAGGGCATGTATGAACAAAACAAAATGGATTCTGTTAATTGTCGCGACCATTAATTGATTTGTCTCGTCATAAATTGATCTCAGTATTAACATTTATGAGAAGACCTTTCCGTAACTCGGATTTTAAAAAAAAAATTGAATAAGAAAAAAACTTATAATGTCTCTGTAACTATAGATGGTACAAACAAATTGATACACAAGTTTTATATTTTGTATGAGTCCATTGAAAACTTTTACATCAAGACCTTCACAGATATGAGTTTGACAAAGAATTTTCGTGAAACCGGGATTCTGATAAAATATATCTCAAAAACGAAATGTAATGGAAAAGGTTTTATCTCGCTTCTATTCTTGTCACGTATTTGTCAATGAAAAAACTTTGTTCATGCAAAAAAAGGTAATTCAACTCGGAATTATGTTCGCAACAATTCGTGTATAATTTTAAAAGTATATACTATAACTGAAACAAATCAATACATAGAAATAGTTATACGTATAATAACATCGCATATCAGAGAATTTCACGCCACATCCACAACGATTTCGTCTTTTTTTAATTTTTTAGTCTTTTTTGTAACCAAGCTAGCACAGCGCTGTGAATAAAACTACAATTGCTATGGACAAGAAAAGTAAACATGAACAATAAAACTATACGTTTTATGGTTTACATTCAGACTAAAAGCTTTTTGTTTAAATTGTAACTTTTATTTACGGTACAAGGAATTTTTATATTCTATTTTCATTTGAAACAGAATGCTGCTAAAGCTGTTATGACTGGGACGCTAAATAATTGAGTTATGGCGGCCTACGCGACCTTAATAGACAATTTCTATTTGCCTCCCTTGGTTTGCACGCTTTCAAGTTACAATTAATAAAAAACGGTTTAATACTGTTTAATATTCAATATTTAATATTCTTTATGCAGTCATTTTTTATAATCCAATAGAGTTTTTATCACAGCTTCTTAGTTATACAAGAGTTTTACATTTATGGTTCCTAGGGGAGAATCAATATAGACAATATAGCCGCAAAATGTGTGATATTTTCATCGTGAAAACAATATTTTGCTATCGCACTTCCTGGACTGATATGAAACGGTACACAATAAGCTGTGTTGGAGCGCTCTCCCCATTGTCTAGTTGATATGGCTGCGCGCCATTTTGTTGAAGCAGTCCAAAGATAAAACGAATCTGAATTGGATTTTATTGGTTTGAACCACACTGTTCTTGTTATATTCAATAATTTTCGAACAATAGCAATCATTATAAATAGTTTATAATTAATAGAAAAGATGGAACAAAATGTTAAGCGATTGAAGAAATTTCTAAGAAACCAAAGAGCGTAAAGCAGTTGTTTCGCTTCATTTTATTTATATAAAACCTACATATTTATAATATCTATACATATACATATATAATAATACATACATCTATATACATATAATAAAAATAATTTTTAATCTTTGGATTGCTACTTTTTTGACTATAAAGGATTTAAAAGAAAAAAATTAATGCAAATTCTTAGTATCCCCTTATTAGAATTCCCATTTTGCATTCACAACATACTTAATGTTCAATAGTACTCTTATAACATAATAATGTCAGGTTCAATATATGTTTCATATATATTGTATACATTACAAATATACAGTCATTATTATATGTAAAGACAGTTTTTAACTCATGTAAACTCTTAAGAAGTAATCTAAATATTTATATCCTTAGTTCCAGTAACATTATTATCAAGTAGTACAATACAAAGAACTTTGTTAGTACATTAACTTGAATAGTTCAGTTAATGCGATTCTATTTATAAGTGAGTTTCGGATTCCTCCTCAACGAAATTCCTTAATTCACAGAGACAAACTTTGTTTTCGTTCACATTGTTTTAAGTCTTTCTGTTGTTCTTTATTAGATAAAGACCCGTAAATAGGACTTGATCTTTCAGATAAAATAAATATTTATTTCTGTTTTATATCGAAGTAAATGTTTAATAAAATTAATAATATTATTTGCTTGTAAGACTTTAAGGTTTCTTTTTGAATGTGTATCTAAAATTTAATAATGAAAGTCTGGCTTTAACTAACGTGTAACGGGCTCTGTGTGAACATCTTCTTTTACTGAAACAAAGAGCTCCCGTACAAGGCTTAATCTGTTTGCTGTGCACTTTTGATACTCTCCGATCATTATTTGTAAGAAGCGGCTTACAATTAATTTTAAACAATTATGAATATTCTACTGAATTTATTTAAATTACAATATTCTTGTCCAATACTCCTGAAATGAGTAATTTTTCTTTCGGCTTCATGTATCTACTCAAAACAACATCTTTGAAAATCGTGAGCAATTTTTGATCGTTACCTTTTTAGAGGCTCGAAATCTTTATTTTCATATTAGGACCAAAAATATGCTCTCGTATTTGTAAAAACTTAAATGTAATTTAATATTTTGTGCAATTTAATAAGACTTAGATTAGATTTTGTGGAAAAGAATCACTAAAATGTATTAATTTCTCAAGCATAACAAAATAAGAATGATTATATTGCACAATATATGTATTTACATATATGGACAAATTTTTAAGTTGACGGATATATACTTTGCTGTATATAATAGGTATGAAAGACCTAATTATCTTTCATATTTAGGAGAAAATCGAGACCTAATTATCCTTCAATCTAATAAGGAAATCATAACAAGACGATTTATCTTATCTAAATTAAGTACAAAAGGACGAGTTATACTCTCATAGCGCCATTGTCTTAAAACAAGCCAGCGATGTTTGCAATTCATTGTCATTGTGTAATGGCTGCCTCGTTTAAAGTACCGACTGCATTCTGAATGTTTAATATTTAAAAAACTCCACTCGTGCCGGGAACGAAATTGGGTTAAAGATGAAAACGAGCATATTTCACCGGTTTAGTAACTACAGGCGTAATCGTAGGACTGAACTGTTGTTCAACGCCCCTTTTCCCGAGCCCATTGTTTCGCCAACACTGCTGTGGAGTGAAGTCGAGCACCATCGTAAACTGCCGACTTCATTATCAGGAGTTCTGCCCCGCTGAATCTTTGAGGAACACTCGGTACGTCTCACTCGTACGGAAAACTGATTGCGGTTTATTGAAAATGTTGTGACATCGGTGGAGCGGAATTGAATCATATCAATATGAATGGAGATGTTCACTAGATTTATACTATCGGGAATATGGCTTTTAAAGCCTTTAAAGCACTATGTTTAGTATAAACTATATTTTTTATTTTCTTTTTTTAGTTTTATATTAAGAACAATCTTCTAGTGAAATTGTTTCATGTTACATTATTCAAAATATCAAAAACAAATACGAATACGAGTTTCAGTTGAAAATGTTATTCGAAATTTGTGGTCAGTAGCTTAGTGGTGACGTTTTTCCTTTTTTAACGTCCTGACTGTCAGTGTGAAGTAATTTAAAAGTTCTGTGTGAATAAAACGAACACGGGAGTAATAAAGTGGTTGTGGCAATAAATCCAAAAGACGATCTTTTACAAAAAGGAAACTAAACTTTTGCTGTTGCTATCCAATTATTAGGTATTGTTACTTTTACCTTTATAGCTGTCATCGATGACATAATTGCGTGTTTCAAGTCTGAAATAAAAATCGGCTTACGTAATTATTTATAGAACTGCTTTCTTGGAATTCTCTTTACTTTTTAATGGTCTGATTTGTTCATTTAAAAACGAAGGACACTTGTTTTGTTATCAGAAACAAAGAATTTAACTAAATAAGGTAATTTTTAAATAATATTAGTAGTTTTGTAAAGTTATATTGTTTCAAATGTAATGGCGTCTTTGTTATTACTGTCAGAGACTTATATTCACAAATCTGTATATAAATATTAATACTTATGCTTACATTCATTACATTTACGGAGTATTTTGTGCACTTATTTAGCGTACTTTAATATCGACACTGACAATGGCAGCTCCTGTGTACGTATTAATTTTCATAATGGAGCAGAACCTCAATCTGCGGATCTTATCTGAAAAGCCCGATCGTACATTGTTCGTTGATGCCCAATGAAATGCCGTTCCTACATTTCGATAAGCCGCTAAGCGATTATCGCTCCAATGTAAACGAAGGGAAACGTGATTACTATTATAATTTGAGTATAAATAAGAATGAAGAAATTTTCAGTTACAAGAGTATGACCACTGAGAATCAGTCTTAAAGTTTAGTTAAAATATTTCTTTGGTTGTTAATCTCTTATTTTACGCTCCTAAGCATTATCTTAAACAAAATATTGGTTATATTAAAGGTAGAAAAAGTGTTAATATTATCAATTTATCTGACTTTAATAGTGAAAATTTTTATTTCCCTCTAAGCAATATATTCTGGTATATATTTTCACAAATATAACTTACTTTATTTTCCATTTTACTATAAGTTTTTTAGTTACATAAATTTTCATTTCTTTTATCTTACAATTTTTTTTGAGGATATAAAAATACAGAAAATAAGACAGTTCCACATTGACATCGCCGTCACATTAAATACTGAATGTTAAAGAATGTACATATGTCCTCTTAAGTAATGTCAAACCCTAGAAAGAGATGATAATCTTTTAGAAGCGAATACATTCTTATTACTCAGAACTTGTCAAATAAGTGTGTTTTGAAACGAAATAACTCAACTAAAATCATTCAAAGTTAAAAGTACAAACACCAAAACTATCACCTTGGTCTTTTTATTCTTAGAATTCATAAATTTACAAAATAATGGCCCGTTTGAATTCAACAGAGATTATACCAAGAAATAAGATTAAAAGTTCAACAATTCACAGAAATTATATAATATATAACCGTTATATATAACAACAGAAACAGTTTTAATTAACTTCTAGTTTGTTCTAACAATGTACGGATTGCAATATCAATATTAGCATTACTGATTACACTTCCAAACTAACCCTCGCTCGGTAAATTTCCTGCAAATGTGAACTAAACTTAGATCCCAATCTATGATGATTAATGTGCTATCTAAGTTAAAGATAGAGAGGGGAGTATCGAGCTATTGTGGACCATCCACTGGAAACTAAGCTCCTAGCCTTAGAACAATACCTGGTTCATGTTTCCCTAGTAATTAACGCTATACGCATCAGAGGATTCTTTGTTTATCACTATCATATGATGCTATTAACTACTGCATAAAAACCTGTGCATTATCTTTAATAAATGAGACTAATAAAATAATGTTCTATAATAAGCTATAATTAGTTATAAGTCAGTGGTGACCTAGTGGTTAAAAGGCCCGCCTCTTATTCACGAGGGCGCGGGTTCTATCCTGGCCCAGGCAAGTACCAATGTGATTTTTCCGAGTCATATGTACTTTCTAAGAATATTTAGACATCACTGATTAATGCATTCCCAAAGACGGTTGATGTCAGGCAGGCGGCCGGTCGTAAAAACAATTAGCCAAAACTATTCACAACATGTAAGACAGGCAGACCCTGGCTAAAGCTGGGAAATTGCCAGGTAGAAGAAGAAGAAGATACGCTATAATTAGCATCAATATTATGAATTCACATATTTTAATTCGAGCACTGACTGTACATAGATGTGAGTTCTTGCATTTCCTACTTCGTACATAACGAAAAATCCAAGAACGTGATCATTTAGCGAAATACAGAGCTTCATTAATTACTAACCGCGCCTCGAGACTGAGAACAAGCGAATTTAATTAAAAGCAAACATTCGTGACAATACTGTCTGCCTCTACTACAGTGAAAAAGTTCGACTTTCATTTTCCATTACTCTCCCTTTTCCGTCCTCAGACAAGATCGAGCTGGCTTAATAACAGCCAGTACAAGTTTAAAATCTCTTGATTGTGATAAACCAAAGCTGGAATTACTGAAATAAAAAAGAATATAATTTCTTTGAACTTTATTATTACTTTAGCTGATTATAATTATGAATTTTCCGATGTGAAATATATTTTTTGTATAAATTTAAGATATATAAATCGAGATAACCGTTGCCAAATAGTTTCGTAATCCTGATACACACGCAAATGGAGAAAGTTGCTAATGGAAATTTAATTAAACTCGGTTTGATTGGATTCGGAATACTAGGAATACACAAAGTTATATTTTGAACACAAAACAAATATCCCAAATCAGGCTCTCATTGTTTTGTTTGTTCAATATGTTTACTTAATTTGCAACTTTTAATAACTATTCAATACATATATAATATATATTGAAATATCAATTGAATACTTTTGTCTATATATTGTTAATTGCTAACATAAATTGAGTTAAAGTTGATAGGCTTTTGGAACAAATATAAATTAATTTTGGAAGTTCCGAAATATGTGTGAGATTATAAAGTTTGATGGAAACCTATATTCAAATAACATGAGAGTTAATCAACTAACAGGATTAAAATTAACTTTGTATACTCGATACTTAATAAGCACAAACATAATTAAGAGACAGTTCTATAAAAACATATCAAAATAAGAAAGTAATTCACAAATTACCATTACGAATCTCTTTTAGGCGCATTTTATTTACGTACAGTTGACATTTTGCCTCCGTATAATTGAATGAAGCCATTGGGATTTGTCACAGAGGTAGTTTCACCCTTACAGACGTTATGAGGTCGTCGACCTGATGTTCATATTTCAAGTCGTTATTATAAAGAGACACCTGCCACGTTATTTGTCATTTATTATAATAATGAACTACCATAATAGATATCAACTTACGTTGGTTTAAAATATATTTTATTATTACTTTGGTTTCAATTACTTTGCTATTATCCTCTTTGTGTTTTTCATTATGCAATAAATAATAGACAATTTTTAAGGATTAATGTTTCACGAAACTTTTGAATTACTCAAATATCCGTAATAAAAATGTTATGTAGATTTAACAATAAATTAGAAGTTCCAAAGAAGCTAGATTAGAGAATAGCATTAAAAGGATACATCGATGTCGTCAATCAAGACAACAACGTGACCCGCTTAGTAATGTTCTTTTGCAAACATAGATTTGAGTGTATAGATAAAAATGTATCTTCGTTTATATAAAAGACGACCTCCCTCGCGACCGCCCCTCTCCCAGTCACAATGCGAGCTATTTGAAACTAGGGTGACATCAAAAGCGTTAAGAAATCTCCACATCGTGTTGAAATATAAAGAATTCACGTTCAGCCCGAAAAATAAAAACGAATGGCAACAGTTTTATTCGTTTTATTCAGTTCTATCTTCATGTTTATGTTTTATTATTAATTTTATTTCGAAAACAGTTTTGACAGAGTTCTCTCTCCTTTTATGATTAGTTAGCGGATAGAATTAAAATTTAATGGAAAGTTTTCCAACGTAATATATTCGTCCATATATTATATAGTGTATTATTAAATTTCAAGCTGTTCAAAATTGTGTACTCATATTTCACCCTAAATATTATGTTTCACTTCACACCCTTTGTATTTTTAATGCGGTTTGAGGACATGCACATCGGAAGTTTGTTAAATACTGAAATAAGTTTTTGAAAGGAAATATTATATTACACTTACGTAAAATACTGATTGATGTTAGTTAAAGATTAGAATGATTTGAGTCAGTGGTGGCTTAGTGGTTGAAAGGCCCGCCTCTTAATCACGAGGGCGCGGGTTCGATTCTGGCAGTTACCATTGTGATTTTTCTGAGTCATATGTACTTTCTGAGAGTATTTAGACTTTACTCATTAACGCGTTTCCAAAGAGGGTTGATGACAGCCAGGTAGCCTGTATGTAACATGTAAGGCAGACCCTGGCTAAAGCTGGGAAAATTGCCAGGTAGAAGAAGTTAGTTAAAAATTAAAATATACTTATTCAGAAGTCGTGTAAGGTCTAGTATAAGTTCTATTAAGTCCAATAACAAAAAAGCCAAAGTTTTTGGGTGAATGTATAAAACGAATTGTGGGTCAGAGTTATTACAGCTCCGTAAGCATTTCGGATCGTTTCGAAATTGACAAACTTTCAGTGTAACTTTTCATGGTATGTACAAAAGGCGACACTTTCATCAGTTACGTAAGGGTGAAATATGGGAACATTTTTTATTCTCCATACACAAACAATGTTGTAAATTATTTCAAATAACTTTGAAACATATTTCTTCTGTTCTCCGTAACATTTCTTTTGCAAATGAACGATGACATTAGAAAGAAAAAAGGTACTATAGACATTTTTGTACATATACTTATAGATACTTTATACAAAACTTCTTGTATAGCTTTATTAAAATAATTCTTAGATGTAGAGAAATCAGCGAAGAAAAATATACATATATTTTTATTTCTACTTAGGTACATAATTCTGAAATTGGTTTTTCAATGAACAGCAGAACGATAACATGTCTTTCAATTCACCAGATGCATCCATTAGTGATATTGCTGCTAGCAGCGGCAGTTGCAGCTGATGAAGTAACCGACCCAAACAGCCTTCTTGATCCCGCTCCAGGTAATATATAATACAAATATTGTGATATGCTTTAAAAATATACAAATTCGTAGTAAAAGTCTCGAAAATTAAAATTAACATAATATGCACAGTCTTTGAAATGATTAAAATTCAGGATCATTTAATCTATAGAACAGTTTTTTCTATTTTTAATTGGAAACCATATATTCGTCTTACTTAAATTAAGTAAATAATACTCTTAGAAAAAAATAAATGCTTTTTTAAGGTCTCTAAATATTAGCATTCAATATGTTTTACGATTTTTATTTTCAATTCAAGAATATCTTTTTTAAAACTCCGTCTTATAAGAATTTTTATTGTTAGTTATGAGTTTAATAAGACTTCTGCCGGTGCTATAATTGACTCAGACACTTTTAAACCTATTAAGGAATTAACGAAACTCCACAAAATAAAAGTTGCTTCATAATTGTAAACCACGCTTTTTCATTTTTTATTTCTTTTAAATATTTTTCTGCTTTTGAAAACTGGAATGAGTATTTTTGAATCGATCATCGACATTAGTCTTATACAGTGAATTTGTGTGTGTGTGTTTGTGTAGGTAAGTGTGAGCGTGTGTTTGTGACGTATTTTACTACATTCGACTGCTTAAAGATTTGGAAAAATTGTATAATTCGTAAATATCAACGTATTAATGGCAAGTTAATGAACACAAAAAACTTAAAACTTTTAAGAAAAAAATAATATTTTTATGAAATGTATATTTTGCCATTTTCTATTAAGACTTTTAAAATAAGACGTTTTTAATGTTTAAAATATGCTCAATGACAACGTCATTAAGTACATTCATTGTATTTTTGTTAATTGCCTTACAAGTTTCATAAGAATTTCTTTGCAGCACTCTTAAGAAACAGATTTATGATAATTGCTTATTTATTTGACATCGAATAAACAGAATATTCAACACTTTTGTAATTACATCACAACCATTCAAATTTCATAACAGTTGGTGTGATGGAACTGTTTCCAGAAGCCACTTTATAGTCAGAGAATTTGACAAATTTGGTTAATTAAAATTCATTAACGAAAATTTAGAAATTCAAATCAGTTTAAACTCCGTGTGCTTGACAAATAACAAACTTGAAACAACATTATAATTTATTAAATAAAAGGTAAATGTATCAATATTTGAAAGACTTTTTGTTAAAACAAATTACTATTATGTATAAGAAATGTCGTGTTAATTTATTGTATCAATAATATATACTTCACTGAGAAATAGATCCGTATGTATGTATTAGAATTGTACATGTCACACACTCTTGTGTCACAAAGAGGTTGCTTTCACGATAATACGAGAAATAATAGCAAATCCAAGAGCTTCTAACGCTCTAGTGAAAAATTCATTGCGACTCCAGACGACTTTAGTGGCGTGAGATGACTACCCTTGAATTATATCCTTAGTCACACATGATACATTCAAGAAAATTGTTATTATACAAAACTATTTCGTACATATATATCGAAAGAAAAAATGTAGAAGTTACGTAAAGATAGGAGAAGTTTTACACTGAATTATTACATTAAAAGCATGAAAAGTGATTTCAAAACTCTTCTTATTTCACATTCGAATAACAAATTTTCTCTGTGTTTAAGTATTCAAAGCTTTAAGATATCGTCATCCTTATTATATAGATAATACGTATTATAACAAGATATTAAACCACATTCTCTCGTCTACGTATGCTGTAAGATAGTAATAAATCTTGCTTGATGTAATAACTGTGCCAAATATTCAACAGTTCAAGTAAACAGACCGTCATGCAGCGTTATAGAGTTGAGAGTGTAAACTGTAGTAGGTAACTCTCACAGGTAATTTCCCTCGCGCCTTCCCTTTGATCGTATCCAAGGGGTGGAAACTAATACTTCCACCTGTACCTGTACCCTAACGAACCGTGATACCTGTCGCGAATTTTTAATTTCTTTACCCCTTTTAAAAGCGTAAATTAAAAATATTTAGATTTCTAACAACAAGCCGTTTATCTGGCCCTTTATTAAAAATTATTACATGCTTTAAATTGTTTGTTTTGCGCCAAGTTATTGCTGTTGAAATATATGGTATTGAAATATATGGTTGCCATGTTTCATTTTATAAAAACTTCGATAAGAATAAATATTCATTATTATTTTTAAGGCTACAATAGATAGTTAAAAGAAATTTTTAATTTATTCGACAAATAGCAACACGCCAAAACAGTTGTTGCCTTAAAAAAGAACTGAATAAAACCACCACGTACAAAAAGCTTAATATCACGAAGTTATTAACTGAGAATAAAAAGATATTCGCCAGCTACATTTAAGCAAAGCGAAACTCAAACAGGATATTGTGTAATATGTACAAAATGTAAGCCTGCACGCGGCGATAAGAACCTTCGACAACATCCCCCTTTTTCATAAGAGTTACACTTGCAAATTATAATGATAATATATTTAACTGATATTATACAAGTTTATATGGAATTTTATATATTTACATCGCAAACAAGATCAGGGTACAATTTAAATGTAATATAATAAATACTTAATTATTTTTTGCTTTTCAAATTCATAAATATTCATATTTAAGATGACTAACTACCACCAAACGACGTTAATTGTTAATTAGTACGTTCCAAATTAAAATAGAGAAGAAAATAAACACGTTAAAAACTGAAGCTACTTGTCTAACCCTTTGTATTTTGTGCTTTGTTCAATATAAAACTCATTTAAAAATTGCATAAAGCTTTATATTCAAATCATAATTGGCATATTTGGCTGCATAGAGGAGTGTATGTAAGCGGATTACGCCCATAAGCCGCTGAGCTGGTTTGTAGTAAAGAATATAGTGTTAAAAAGCGTTTCATGTTTGTTATTTTATGTTTAGGATATTCAGATTTAAGGGTTGATATCAGTTTCTGCACTTACATATGTAAATATGATTTGAAGATTCGTAAAATTGCATATTATTATTTCAGTTTTATCACATATGAAGGTTAACTGGAATAAAAATATTTAAATTTAATATTAAACAAAATATAACATCTTAAATAGATGACGTGGTTAATTGTTAAGTAAAATGGAATAACGTTTTTAATATACGAATCCGCTATTGTATATATATGAATATATTTTTTATATATTTTCAAGTGAGCGCCATTTTGAGTAGCGGCTTGACAGGTTCCAAACGGAAACCTCGGAAATTAAGAGGCTGTCGCAACACCCACAATTTCCGATGAGCTGGTTATATAACGATTTCAATTGAATATCCTCAACAAAAAATATCTTAAACATCACCATTTTATTATTTAAACTTTAAATAAAAAGTATGTTATCCTTAATTAAAGTTTGGAGCACTTCTTCATACTAATTCAACTGATAAACTAGATGCTCTATGGACGGAATGACGCACTTTACTCCGGCTGAGAGCTTACAAGAAAAGTGTTTTAAACATTCAGCTCGGTTACTACAGTTAAGTATTATACCGAGGAAGATTTTCAAACACATTTTTCACCTTCAACAATATTAAAACAACGTAAAATTTTTATGAGGAATGCTTTACAAAATTTTAGCAGTAAAATTTGAATGTACCTCATAATTATAAGTCTTCTTATTATCAAGATTTCTTTCATGTTTTTTACGTTTAGCCTGAAGATAGTGTTATGTTAAAGTACTAGTGATGTTGGTATCACATGCCGGTAAGCGGTTTCGTCGATAAAAACATATTACAGGCGACCGAGGGTGAGGCGCTTAGCGACAAAGCGACCGTTCTCAAAACACGCCAAATTGGTTCCATTAGCGCGCATTAAGGGACGTGGAACGCTGACAGCCTGTTACATAATATACAGTCTGTTTATACTCGATGGTTATTAACATGTTTATGGGAAAACAAAGCTTATTAATGAAACTGAATTATCAAATTCGTTTGGCTTCCCACTCGAGTCAGTGGACGTGTGTGACGCTGTATTATAATTTATTAAGCAAACATACAGTTGAATTTTCAGTAAGACATAATTTTGTTGCGAGTGAATAAAAGCTTATTAAATTGGAGTGAAGGCTTACGTTTCGCTCGTAATTTCATTATAGAAATCTTTTTTCTAAATACCGATTTTCACATTTTCAAATTAAGCCTGAAGTAGTCTTTTTAATATTTATTAGCTTTTACAATATTATAAAAAAAACTTTTTGTTTTAAATTTTACTATATATATGTTTTATGACTCCTTCTTTATCTAAATGATAAGATAAGATTTTGTGTAATATGGTGTTTTGTATCTATTGGGCTCTGTTCATATTTTGTTAAGATGATGGACATAAACACATTCATATATACACATATGTATATATGTGTATATACCCATGAGAAACAAAATCTCCCCAATAATAGCTTAGATGCGATAGATAGCCATTCTATTTCTATTAAATTTTATCTAAATTCGACTATTCTTGTATTCTTGTGTCCTTGGAAACAAAGTATTCTCTTACTATAAATAAATGTAACTTGTTTATTTCTGAATAAAATATCAATTCAGGACAGAAACCGACAAAACGTTGTTACATAAATTGCCGAGATTATAAAGTTTATTCAGAGGCTGCGTCTGACAGAAAATAATGGAAGAAGTATAGCGTTAATAATTGGGTATTACGGTCATTTGAATTGTATTGATAATTGATATCATTATTTCTTCAACAAAATCATTTGTTTTATTCGTTAAATAAAAAAGAATATGTATTTATTTTAGTCTACATCATTGAGTTTTAGTCTCGTAAGAACAGACGTGAAGGATTCGTTTGATGTGTAATCAAGGCAGAGCGAGCTCAATCATTTAAGCTGTACGTGCATGGAATTTTTTCTAGCAACGCTTACAGTTTTGTGGTGTAAGGTAATCAGGTAATGACGAGAATATCATACCTGTGACGGGGAGATGATGAGGCATATCAGTGACGCTATGTTAAACAATTCCTACTAAATCCCATTGTACAGATGATCAAACAAATTGAGTTCAT